ATTCTAATTTATTGAGATGCACCTGTATATGGTTTTAGTGTTCCATAATTCAGGAGAAATTATGGAAACCATAAACTATTAAGCAAAGTGTGAATTGTGATTAGTCCTTCTTGATTTTATCAGTCACCATCTGTAATATTTACTCACTGTGCTTACAGTCCACAACTATTATGAAAATAGAAGTGCAGGTTTACTTTGGTTATTCACTCATACAGACGGTATTCAAAGTTTTTAGGTTTTAGTAAATAAAGTTCTCAATCCCAAATACTGACTGTGAACACAGCTCTTAAAGAGTAAAACCTGTTAATAAATACAGCTGTCAATCCCAAACACTGTGGGATTGCAGCATTTGAGAGTAAAATATGTTAATAAATATGACTGTCAATCTCAAATACTGTGGGGATGTAACATTTAAGAGTAAAATTAAATACGGTTGTCAGTCCCAAACACTGTGTGAAATGAGTATCGTTCAAAAATGTTCGATATCGATACCGATACCTTGACTTCGATACCGGTTCCTGAACGATACTTTTTTCGATACCAATTTTATGAAATCAGAATCCTGATTTCTATTTATTTTCCACTGATTTACTGATGAGCATTAGCAGCTTCCAGAGCTGTCTGCCTGTGCTCTCTCTTCCATGATCCACACCTCTTCTAGTCGAACACACCGGCTAGGGCTGCAGGCTTTCTGGCTCACTGACACTGATGAGATTAACCCCTTAGGTATCGAAATTTGGTACCGAACGACGAGACGTTTTTCGAAACTCGATGGTATCGAGGCATTTCGGTCGGTGCCTAAAAAGTATCGAACTCGATACCCAGCCCTAGTCCTTCGAGGCATTTCGGTCGGTGCCTAAAAAGTATCGAACTCGATACCCAGCCCTAGTGTGAATGCAGCTCTTGAGAGTGAAACCTGTTATTAAATACAGTTCTCAATCCCAAATACTGACTGTGAACATAGCATTTGAGAGTGAAACCTGTTAATAAATCAGAATGTCAATTCAGAACGTTGTGTGAACGCAGCTCTTGAGAGTGAAACCTGTTAGTAAATATGGTTTACAAACCCAAACACTGACTGTGTGAATGCAGCTTTTGAGTGAAACCTGTTATTAAATAATATTTTCAATTCTAAACACTGTGTGAATGCAGCTTTTGAGAGCAAAACCTGTTAGTAAATACGGTTTTCAATCCCAAATTCTGATCGGGAATGCAGCATTTGAGAGTGAAACCTGTTAGTACAGTTTTCAATCCCAAATACTGACTGTGTGAATGCAGCTTTTGAGAGTTGTCCATCAATGAATGAACGCATTCATTTTTTTGAGTCAAGCATGTTGATAAATGCGGTTGTCAGTCTCAAACACTGCTTGTGTGAATAAACTGTAGCCATTGAATTACATGGTTTATGAAACCTTACGTGTCAATATCTGCCAAGTAGATTAGATCAATGAGTCAAATAGCTTTGAGAGTGGACTAGAAAGAATACAATGTGTTCACACCCACCATTATAAACGCTAACTTAATTGGACAAAGCACTGTGCAATTAGAGGCTAATTAGGAGATGTGGATCTCATCTGCTCCTCCATCGCAGTTTTATACTGCAGATATTAAGTCTCGTAGCCTGAAGTGGTGTGTTTTAAAGCTTAGGTGTGATAAGCTCCTGTCTGAGCTATGACAATGATTGAATGTGTTTTAAACAGCAGGGGATGGGCTTATTTCTCATGCAGGAAGTGAGCGAGTTCTGTCTCTGCACTGCACTCCGATCCATAACCGGCTAAATCAGTAGAGGGGAAAGTGGGTATAGCTGCAGAGCTTTGTCAGGAGCGACCCAGACAATGTCATGATGAATGTGTCAGCGAGAGGGAGATGTATTTTTCCGTACACGAAAATCTGGCTCACCTCCTTTCTTGCTAACTTTAAAATTCATCATGACTCTGTAGGGGCATAATGAACTCCATCAAAAATCAGCCGGCATTAACATCATCTCCAACCAGCTGATCCGTCGGCTCAGGATACCGCTCGTGTGAGCTCAAGAACACGAGTAATAGGCAATCAACCTCGCATAAAAGAACAATAGCAGCCATCATTCATTCTCATGTACAATTAGCACAGCGCTGACTGAGTGATGGCCCCTTAGCCCTCCGGCGCTCTGACATGCCACTTCCTGGCTGCCTGCCTGCGATGGCACCATGGAATAAAAAGCGTGACACTGTGCGAAGTCTCTCACACAGAGACGACTTAAAAGGCTAATTGGGCCTGGAGGTTCTGATCCATCTAAGATCTCGGCACCCATCAAGTCTACAAGTCGCCGTTTGATGACTAAGATCTGACCACATGACCTCCTCGTGTGGATCTGAGGACCAATGGACTCTTAGATCATCAGAGACGAGGAATAACAGAGAAGTGCCACTAACTGTCATGCAAAACCGTTTCTGGAGCCGCTCCAAGCCATTGTGGAGCCAATTCCCGAGGGACTCGCATCTTGAGACAGAAGGGAAAAATAAAACATTTACATATGCAATGCATCTCATTAATTATAATTAATGAAAGTGCCGCCTGCTTGCTGGGTGCCCCTGTTAGCACTAGGTAAATTAGCTATTCGGCACACATATACACAGGCTATTTTCATATACAGCTTGACAATCGCAGGGCTTTCCGAACGCTATTGATGCAGCGTGGCCTCAACGGACGACACTTAGCGCGGCTCAGGAGAACAGGATATTAAAAAGAAGTCCCCTATGTTCTAATGACAGCACTGAGCGGAGACACGGAGAACATGTTGACACTGAGGGGTTTTCTTTATCCTGCCTGCGAGAGAGAATGAAAGGGAGAGAGTGTTTCAGTGCAGTCATTCTAGCACGTGGAGAGCAATATGAGTTATGTTTACCGAAATATGGCTTCATCTCGCTACTGCAGCGTAAAATTAGAAGAATTATTAGCTGGGGTTTGTTGTTGACATTGGTCATGAACTGCCTTTGTTTTTTATTTTCTCTGAGGTCTACTTATAATGTTATCAAGATTTTTACATCAAAAGACTTCCTAATTTATAAGTAATAGGCTATTTTTTGGCCTGTTTTTAACCTCCCTCATCTGAATGCTCTGTTTGAATAGGCGTGGCGGATTGTAGATTTGGAAGTAAACGCCCACTTCTATGATTGGCTAATAGTTTTGTATGTTTGACAGCCTACATCCTTCCTAGATGGACACTGCTATGTTTTAGGTTAAAAACACATAAATACTCAGTAATTATCATACGATTTATAATAACAGACAAAGCAATAGTGACCACATAATGGAAACAGTTACTCACACTTGTGTGGTGCGACATCGGATTCAATATAGTCGGCACAGCATCATCTTTTAATTTCAATCTTTCTGAAAATCCTGCGTCGAATTGTGCCTTGTTTGTAAGCGAATCCGCAGTACAATTAAGTGAACAAAGTGGTCTGGCATTCATTAAAGTTAATCAAATGAAGTTGATCATTTGGTTTCTGTATACACCCGCATTTCCCTGTCTTGTTATTTACACTACATGCACGAATCGGTAGGCGGGGCTAAACAGGCAGCGATGTAGAAGCAGGCGTTGATCTTCTTCTGCGGAGGAAGTGTTTAGCCACACTATTACATCATAAAGTGGCACATTCCACATCCTGTCGTTTTGGCAGATTGAGTTCAATATAATTAGTTTTTAAACTAACAAGAACGTTTTTGTAGTTTTTGAAAGTTTTGTAACTTATAGAATGTTTTTTTTTATAGCACAATGACCTATTATATGTCAAAAGATCAAGGGAATTATGATTTCTCAGTTCATGACCAGTGTATGTCTGACTAGAAAGAGTTTCAGTTTTAGAGTGGAGGGGCAAAAATGGGGGTTTAGGCGGTTGGTACATTTGATATACCATCCAATAGTGGGTGAATTTTGAACAATATCAAATTATTTAGTACTCCGCCTATGCTTTTATTTCTATTTGATTGTTTAGTCTTGAGGAAAAAGTAAACAGACTGTCAATACAACAGCAAAGACACAGAATGCAAATGGTGGACACAATAGAATGAGATATTAATTCAATAATACCTTTACTGAATTCAACCCAGACTAATCTTTTTTTTTTTTAAATCATTCTGTTTTTTCTCCTTTTTTCAGACTTGATAAAACTATTTAGGCTCCTCCTATGAAACTGCAATCTTTGAAAATGTTCGCTCTTTTATTCTTCCACTACTTTTTTTCTTTGAAGTCCCTTAAACGCTGTCATTTGCTTTCTTAAATTCTTTGTGAAATTGACGCTTTGATCGAAGAGCTGCGCAGACGCCTCTTGCCGTTGTCATGGCGACGTCTGATACGACTCAAACCCTGCGCTCTGCCTCTCTTCTCCTTTCTTTTTTCTTTTTTTAATTCTATTTCCATTTCTAGCTCCACTAATCAAGGACTGCCAGTAAGCCCAGAACAAACAGATGTTACCGATTAATTTTCCCATCACTTGAATTAGAAAGTAAATTAAAACAAAAAGATTTTCTGCTGGAGTTCAATAAAAAACTCATGCCTGTTTCTTTTTTTTTTTTTTTTTTTTACCTCCTGTCAAGAACAAAATGTTACATTGCTAACAAGGCAGATGCATGGCTGCCTAATGGGAGGGCTGTTGGTTTTTATTTTTTATTTTTAAGAAAGCCACCAGAATGTGGTTCATTATAGCTAGTGTTAGTGTGTGCATACGTGTGTATGAGTGTATGAGTGTGTGTCTGTGAGCTGTTTCACAAGCTGGAAAGGCTTGCATTATTGTTAGCAGTGCCCAGTGCTGGTGCTTTCATATGCTTATGACCTTTTGGGGATTTTTGCCAAGGTTTCAGTTTCTGTGATGTTGTACGAAAGACTTTGCTCCGCTGATACTTTGCAATGCAGTGTGCGCTTCCCACACAAACACACCACCCAAATCCTAGCACGAGTGCATGTGGAGCCTATGGCGTACTGCATGTTGATTTTTTTCTGTGTTCTGTAAATATACCTTGTCCAGGCCAAAGGTCTTGGTGAGGGCAAAGCCCCAGCCCTGCTCGAAGGCTCTGCGGATCATGGCTGCGCTGGTTGTGGGTGGAGCGCTGGCCAGCCCAAACGGGTTAGGAAACTTAATCCCGCACATCTCCACGCTGATGTCCACTGTATCGATGGCGCAGTGAAACAAGGGCAGTTTGGGAGTGGTGCTTACTGTGTTACCATGAAGGGACTGCAGAGAAAACACACACGTATAAACTATTACTTCATGTGCCTGTATTGCGATCACAAATAAAAAAATAAACACACACACACACAAAAAAATACATCTCAAAGGAAATATTAATACTGAATTATTTTTCCATTGATATGTTTTTTTAGCAGATAAGTGTTTAAAGGAATGGCCTAGGTTGAACTTAAATTACAATTATATTTGAGCTGAAATATTTATATACTGCAATGAATGACAAACAGTCTTCAGCCAGTCACTTTAGCTCAATAATGTTCATTAAAGAATGCTTATTATTATTGTTGTTATTGTTATACATATTTTTAAGATGTGTTATTTATTTTATATAATTATAAATAATTCTCATTATATACACCCACAGGCCACATTGATAGATACCTGTTCAACTGCTCATTAACGCAAATATCTAATCAGTCAATCGCATGGCATCAACTAGATGATATGGTCAAGACAATCTGCTGAAGTTTAAACTGAGCATCAGTATGGGTTAAGAAATAAGTTATGTGACTTTGAACAAGGCATGGTTGTTGGTGCCAGACAGGCTGGTTTGAGTATTTCAGAAACTGATGATCTCCTGGGATTTTCATGCACAACATACCATACGTAACCGAGACGTTCTGTGGGCAAAATGCCTTGTTGATGCCAGAAGTCAGAGGAGAATGGGCAGACTGGTTTGAGCTCATAGAAAGGCAACAGCAACTCAAATAACCTCTTGTTACAAATGAGCAATGCAAAGAAGCACTCCTGTCAGCTAACAACAGGAAACCAAGCCTACAATCACACAAGCTCACCAAACTGAACAATAGAAGACTGGAAAATGGTAGCCTGGTCTGATGACTCTTGATTTCTGTTGCAACATTCAGATGGTGCGGTCAGAATCTGACGTACACAACATGAAAGCATGGATCCATCCTGCCTTGTATCAATGGTTCAGGCTGGTGGTGTAATGGTGTGGGGGATATTTCTTGGCACACTTAGTACCAACTGAGCATCGTTTAAACACCACAGCCTACCTGAGTATTGTTGCCGACCATGTCCATTCCTTTATGACCACAGTGGCTACTTCCAGCAGGATAACACGCCATGTCACAAAGCTCAAATCACCTCGATCTGGTTTCTTGAACATGACAATGACTACGTTTACATGGACATCAATAATCTAATTATGTACCTTATTCTGAATAAGACAATATTACGATTAAGGTGTTTACATGAGTTGCTTTTAGCATATTCCTTTTTTTCATTTTTAATTTACTGAAAGCTTCAAATGCAGTTAATTATTTGTCATGCTATACATGCAAACAGACGATGGCGTTGATGAAGCCATTCTTTTGTTTGCCGTCAAACGGTTGACCACTGCCGTGTGTGTATCCTGTTGCAAAATGCGGCGAAAAGTCCTACACAACGGTAATAATTTGATTAAGGTGTGTACATGTCTTTACTGCACTTCAATAACGCGACTAAAATAGGAATACTCCACATGTCTTAATTCGATTAGTGTTTACTTCGATTATGACTTTAGCCGGATTAAGGTAATCAAAAATCTCTGTTTACATGGTAGATTCTTAATCAGAGTATTGTCTTAATCGTATTAAAATCGGAGTATTGTTGTCCATGTAAATGTACTGAGAGAGTTCACTATACTCAAATAGCCTCCACACTCACCAGATCCCAATCCAATAGAGCAAATTTGTAATATGGGAGATCTGCATCATGAAAGTGCAGCTGACAAATCTGCAGCAACTGTATGATTCTATCACGTCAATATGGACCCAAATCTCTGAGGAATGTTTCCAGCACCTTGTTGAATATATGATATGAAATATTAAGGCAGTTCTGAAGGCAAAAGAGAGCCAAACCCAGTACTTACAAAGTGTACCTAACAAAGTGGCCGGTGAGTGTATAATATTTTATATAATAAAGCTCTTCATGAACTTACATGTATACATGCACATACAATTATATTAAAAAAAATATGATTTATTTATTATTAAAGTCAAATAATTTTTGTTTCATAATCTGTTACACATGACCCTGAAAGAAAATTCTACACTGAAGCTACACTGAGTTAAAGTGTTAAAATTTGCAATTCATTTTAATTTTTACACACTAGACAAAATAAACTTAGCCAAAAAAAAAAAAAAACTTTCACACCACTAAAATATTGTGTACTGACAATTTCTCAGAAGTTGAAATGATGGCACTTTTTTTCTCAGGCAGAAAGAGAGACTGTACTGAGCTGTGCTGAGTAAGTGTCATCACTCTGTTTGTGACTCAGGAAATGTATTGTGTTACAACTGCTTCTGGTCTCCCCTACTAGCACAGAAAATTTTTTTGCAAGCTAAAAAGGAAGAAAAATAAGCACACTGCTCAAGAGAACACCTCATCCCACTGAAAACCCATACACAAAGCCCAATAACCAAAATTTAAACACAACACCCACAACAAAATGTGATCTTATCTTCCAATCATTTACGTGATCTTGAACCGCTGAACCCATTAGCAAATATTTGCACAGCTCTTTCTCTGTAGTCCAAAATTACAGAATGGTTTTGGGGGGGAAATGGATTTGCCGAACAAACACTTCAGCGTGACTTCCTCTGGCCACAGTTACATTAGCGATTAACCTCTGCATGAACCTTCTCTTTATGCTGCCGCTTAGGTCTGTATGCGAAATCACAGAAAATAGTCTTCTGCTAGGAAAACCAAGGAAGAAACTTCTACCGTTTGAGTGTCGAAGCCAAAAAGCACTCAAGATGTCACCCTGAGAAAAAAAAGTCCCTGTGGAATAATGCCCTCGCTATAAAAACTGTGAGCGTAAAACTTTGAGTGCTACACTAATGCTGAAAATTGCTGGCACTAACACATAATGTGAAGCAGGCTCTCAAAGCTACACAACTGTGGCCAAACACTAAGTATGTTGTGTAAGACGTCCAAATGCAGAATGAGATGGATTGGCTTATTGAGTGGAGAGCCCACCTGGATGTACTTGTGGATGTGCCAGGAAGCTTGTTTGCCATCGTTGACAGACTCCACGGTAGTGTTGGCCAAGCCGGTGATGTCTCCGCCGGCAAACACCCAGAGTTCACTGGTCTGCATGGTTTCGCTGTTCACCTCAGGTGTCCCCCATCCGTTCAGCTTTACTGGTTCCAGGGCCTTCTTCACTGTTCCAGCACATAATATTAAAGAGATTGGAGTGGTTAGAGTGTATCAAAGCTAGACTAAAACAACTTTTTGTACAACAATGTCAGGACACACTGGGCAATAAAAAAAAGATGCAAGATATTTAAAGTGTACCTGAATTATACTTGCAATGTTTCCACTTTAGCACAATCAAATATACTTCAGTATATCTTTAGCTGGACTTCAGCACTACTTCAACACAATTAAAGTGCATTAAGTACAAAATTAGCTGTTCCAATTTAGCAGACTTTAAGTATACCAGTTTAGTAAACTAAAAGTACAATTGCAGGGTATTTTTATTAAGTACATAAATATGTAAATGTATTTGTAATATACTTAGCATGAAATAAATGTATTTCAAATACATTTATTTTTCACTAGGGTGATTTCAAGATAACATATCAAGATAATTCGGAATAAAGCTAACACTTTTTTTTTTTCTGTTACCGAATCCGAAGGCTACTGACTCCACAGGTAGTGTTTTTGTATAAAGGTAGTTCTTAAAGAAACGGAATGATTTCAAGTGACCTTTAGATTTAAACAAGCAAATATTTAATCTTTACAATATTATTTCCTAGTAGAACTGGAGAGGGGAAACAAACTACATTTATAGACATTTATAAATACATTCACTCCATTTATTCATTCACAAACTACCAAACCACTTGCACAGTATTGTGGGATATCATAGGTAGCTCTGTGCTGCCTTCAAAAGTCAAGCAGATGACGGCAGTAGACAGGATGCTGCACAAACACTGAATTCAGACTTCTCTTGATGCTTTCCAACCTACACAGACTGAATTTTTTCAGCTTTTAGACACATCCAAGGACTTTTTAATGGATGTGTGTAGTTCCCTTTCAGTCGGTCACTCTCCACGTCACGTCAGTAATGACCGACGAATTGGGATCTCGCTTATGCCGAGTTCACACTGCACGATTTTAGCCCGATCTTTCACTCGCCGACAGGTTTTGCGAAATCGCCGAAAAAAGTCCTACCATGGGAGGCAAATCGGTGCTCGTTCACGCGAGTGACAATCACGCAGTGTGAATTATCAAAGACGCGATCGACGAGTTTGAAAATCGTGCAGTGTGAACTCGGCATTAGTGAGACCAATCCACTCTGAATGTAAACTAAACGAGCCAATGCACATTGGCATGCGATGATTGCATCCAGCTGACGCTGATCGCAGTGCGAGTATAACTAGGCAGCAGGTGCAACGCATACTCAACTTTTCGCTTTGGAGCCGAGCGGTTATATCGTTCTGCTCCTGACTTCTCTGCTACAGAGTGAAGACTCAACGAGTTTCAGCACACTCTTGGGAAGCTCTGGTGTTGGCAGTATGGCACTTCAGCGGCGGTGGTTCTTCCCGTGTCGAGTGGGTTGCACACATCAGGCTGCACTATCCCCTGTTTGTGTTGCAGGCGGCCATCTCCCCTGTGTGCTTCAGCACACTAAAAGAGCAATCTCTAAAAGAGCATTCATGGGTGGATGTCTTATTAAAGATGCCCTTCCACCCGTGCGTTTCTGGACGCGGTCGTTACCTGGCCAGCAAACGCAGCAGCCTCCAGCAAAGCAGCGCCATGGAGCTGGTCGCAGGGCAAGTACCTGGTGGCAAGCGGAAGAGCAAGAGGCCCTGAGACGGGCGACCCAGAGATGGAGGGAGCTGCACTTCGGGAGATGGTGAACGTACCACTCCCTCCCCCGGAGGAGCGCCGGGCGGAGAATCTTTTGTTTCTTTTTTCCCCAGTGGTACACAAAACCTCGATAAAAGAGCAGTTTCTTCTATCTCTGGGTCCCCAGAGGGGACGGGGAGTTGTGGACGGGCTAGTCTCGGATCACACTCACCCTCCTCTCTCACCAGTGAGCAGCTGTGGGAGGTTCGAGAGTGCGATCAAACGTGCTACTCATGCACCCTCTGCCCGAACGCAGGTAAGTGTTGCACACCCGCAGACCCCACTTCGGACCGGCTACGAGGCGCCCGGGCCGGGTCCCTGCGTTCCTCTTCGCTGCCCCACTGCGGGTACATCGGTGGTTCCGTTGGTGCCACTTGTACGGTATCTGGGAGCATGGCTAGCGGTCCCCAGTCCATCTCGCTGGCTCCTTCAGACCATCAGACTCAGCTATTCAGTTCGCCGGCATCCTCCCAAGTTCAGGGGCGTCCACTTCACTTCAGTGAAGGCTGCAGATGCCCCTGTATTGCGTGCAGAGATCGCAGTCCTACTGGTGAAGGATGTGATAGAGCCGGGCCCTCCAGCCGATATGAAGACGGGGTTTTACAGCCCTTACTTCATTGTACCCAAGAAAGGCGGTGGGTTACGACCAATCTTGGATCTGTGCATTTTGAACCAGGCCCTTCACAAACTACCATTCAAGATGCTCACACAGAAGCGCATCTTCGGGTGCATCCGTCCCCAAGATTGGTTTGCAGCGATCGACCTGAAAGACACATACTTTCATGTTTAGATCCTTCTGGGCCACAGGCCATTCCTGCGGTTCGCGTTCGAAGGACGAGCATATCAGTACAAGGTCCAGCCCGAAGGGGGGTCCCTGTCGCCCTGTGTCTTCACGAAAGTTGCGGAGGCAGCCCTTGTTCCCCTGAGAGAGCGGGGCATTCGCATTCTCAACTACCTCGACGACTGGCTCATACTAGCTCAGTCTCAGGATCAGTTGTGCGAACTCAGGGACTTGGTGCTCTCGCACCTCAGCCAGTTGGGCCTTCAGGATCTCTTTTCTCGGTATGGAGTTCGATTCGGTCAAACAGACAGCACGCCTCATGCAGGAACGTGCTCAGTCAGTGTTGAACTGCCTGAATATGTTCAAGAGCAGGACAGCCGTCCCACTGAAACAGTTTTAGAGGCTCCTGGGGCATATGGCAGTAGCAGTCACGCCGCTGGGGCTGCTTCATATGAGACCGCTTCAACACTGGCTTCATGGCCGAGTCCTGAGGTGGGTGTGACAACGCGGCACTTACCGGGTCCAAGTCACACCGGTCTGCTGCCAAACCTTCACCCTGTGATCAGACCTTGCATTTCTCCGGGCAGGAGTGCCCCTGGAACAGGTCTCCAGGCATGCTGTGGTTTACACGGATGCCTCTACCACCGGCTGGGGGGCCACGTACGATGGGCATGCAGTGTTGGGGGTTTGGACGGGCCCCCAACTGCACTGGTACATCAACTACCTAGAGTTGTTAGCAGTACGCCTTGCCTTGAACCGTCTCAAAGGGCGCTTACGAGGCAAGCACGTGCAGGTCCGCACGGTCAACACTGCGACCGATACGTACATCAACCGACAAGGCGCGGTCTACGGAAACCTCTGGAAACTCTGGACCTCTGGAAACTCTTGAGCCTTTGCAGTCAGTTGAGCGGAAGTTTCTATCAATGAAGACGCTGCTCCTGAAGCACTGAGAGGCCCCGGTTTAGTATCGGCTTGCTAAAACCGCTCCAGAGAGTCCGTACTGTAGACCCTGTTAAGCTCCTCCATCCCCTCGGCAGCCAGACGTGGTGGAACATCCTGTGCCAGGCCCTAACTCGATGAATCCGTGAGAACCGGTAGAGCGCTGGGTTCCATATATAGAGACCTAAGTGGATCCCATATGTGTAAATCCACGGTATAGCCTCGGAGCCCGTGTTTCCCCGGCAGACTTTCTGCCATTTTCCAAGAGAGTTACAATCACCTCCAATCTTCCATATGCACCTAAACGGTTGTTCATATGTGTTAGTGCTTCCAAAACCTCTTTCGGGAAGGATGGGGCTTCCGCAACGTCCCTGTTCCAAGTGGT